TTGGTTATGTTGCTTTCTTATCCTTTTAGAAGCATGATCAAATTAGAATGTTTGTGTCTTTGCGCATCTGCTGGAAAGGGTTTCCAGTCCCTCCAATCAACATAACTCTTGGTGCTAGGATATTGGGGAAAAAAACCCAAACCCTAACATTTCAGACACTTGATCTTTCTCATGTCCTTTTACCACTCTCTGCCTTTGTTTGCCTCACTTAGGAAAACCAGCTGATATTAACTACACTTCATCCATCATCATGCACAGCAGCCAGGTATCAGCAAAGAGGGCCCAGCTCCAGGAATCCACTCAATTGTATGAAAAAAACATGTTAAAAAATAACAATTACTGCTCAGAAAAGCAGTTAAATGAGAGGAATCCAAAGAAAAGACAGGAAGGAGGTTGGTGGATGGAGAATATGCTAAAAATAAGCTACAATCACAGAAGGAGAAAGAGAAATCTAGGTTACTGAGTGGTGATCAGACTCCTCTAAACATACTGTCTGTCACAACAAGGAGGACATAGAGTCATAGTTGGGTTTGGTTTGGGTTGGAAGGGGCCCTAAAGCTCATCCAGTTCCAGCCCCTGCCACAGGCAGGGACACCCCCACTAGAGCAGCTTGCTCCAAGCCTCACCCAACCCGGCGTAAGAGGTTAGAGATGAAAGAGCTCCATCTTCTCAGGTCATTCCCCACATCCAGTCCCACCATTATCCCTTTCTGATGTCTCTTCTAACCTGACTTCAAGTGATGGCTACACCCAAGTACTGCACAGGAGGAGAGAGAAAATTCTGGACCTGCCATGTCTTTCCTTGCCTGCAGCTAGGCTGTGGGTTGGGTTGGGAGTAGGGGGAGTCATAGACTCAAATAGGCTGGTAAAGCCCTTTAAGCTCACCCAGTCCAACCATTCCCAGCACTGCCAAGGCCACCACTGCCCCATGGCACTGAGGCCTCTCTCCACGCTGTGTGAACACTTGCAGGGACGGTGCCTGCAGCCCTGCCCTGGGCAGCCTGTTCCAATGCCTGAGCACCCTCTGGGGCAGGAATTGTCCTCAGCTCCATCTAAACCTGCCCTGGGGCAGCTTGAGGCCGGTTCCTCTTGTCCCATCCCTTGTTCCTTGGGAGCAGAGCCCAGCCCCTCCTGGCTCCATCCTCCTCTCAGGCACTTGTAGGGAGCCATCAGGTCCCCCCTGAGCCTTCTCTTCTCCACACTGAACCCCCCAGGTCCCTCAGCCCTTCCCCATCACACTTGTGCTCCAGGCCCTGCTCCAGCTCCAGTGCCCTTCTCTGGCCCTGCTCCAGCACCTCAAGGTCTCTCTTGGAGTGAGGGACAATACTGGGGAAAAATATTGAAATCTTGAAAACCATTGAAAAAAAAAGAGCATTGATTCCTCCAAATCCTCATCCTGAAGGGCTGTGAATCTGGATCCCAGGTGCAGCACTGGAGCTAAGAGAGAAGCATCACCTCTCTCCGACAGCGATTCCTCCGTCTCTCTACCATGGGAAAAGAACCCAGTTACCTGCAAAGCTTTCCAAGACTTTCAGTTTAACTGCAAGAAGCCCAAAGCCAAAATCTGCTCTTCTCTACGCATGAGCAAGTCACTGGTTTGTCCCTCTCTGTTAGATAAACCCACAGAGGGTGAAGGCGATGGGAAACACTATCACAAGTCAACCCCTGTGTCAGTCATGAGCCTTCTCCCTGCATCATTGCCAACTGCAAAGGTGGAAGGGGCTCAGTTTAATTAATAGCAGGTCTCAGCAGACCACTGGAGGCAGTGGCACTTGTTTTCAGGTCATCTGGTCCTAATAGGCTCACACTGGGAGGTGATTTGTTGCTAACTGACAGCAGAGATCACTTAATGAGGGCTGAGACCTTCCAACCCAAGGTAATGAACCCAGGGGCTGTTCCGGTGTTATTTGTCATCATCATTTAAAAAACAAAGCACAGAGCACTCGAGGAGATGCTGGATCTGAATCCAGGTATTTACAATCTAGAAATCACTCCCTGATCTGCAGGATTTTCTCCAGGCATTGGGAATGGAGCAGGCAGGAAGTGCTGCGATGGATTATCAGGACACAAAGCTGTATCACACATAGTTGTGTCCCCAGCAGCTTGTCTGTGGGGACACAGTATAGGGACATCAGTTGCACATCTCATTTTTGCACCCTACATGCTTCACTTGGAAGAAGACTTCCATTCCTACATCAGGAAGCAGGAAGAATCCATGAAGGCTGCTTCTCTTCCTCACTCTCCCGACTACATCAATAGATCTAAGGAAAGCTCCTGCCTCCCCCTAACAATACTCTGACCCTCAGAGAACCTCAGCTACAAAACCCTGCTATTACATGCCAAGGGCATCCCAGTGGAAGCCCAGTCTGGTGGGGCCATTGTAGCACTTTAATAGGAAGGTAGAAACCCCCTCTGGCAACCACAGCACCGAAGGAAGGTTTCCTCTTGCACAAGCCTGGAATCCTGTTGTACAGAACACCTTTCCTTGGAGTGTTTTAAAAGCTCTGCAGTGATGGACAGCCAAGGTGTGCAAGATTACCAGGCCCTGGGGCTCCTGCTGGAGATGCACCTACAAATTAGGAGAACAGATGAGTCCCAGCATCCCTTACTTCTGTGCTTACTCCAAGCTCATTGTTCTGTACATACCACCACCTGCTTCACCACCACGGAGGAGACAGTACAACTAATGGAGATATAAACTATCATGGGACACAGGGCTGATCTGCTGTCAGATGACTGTAAGCCACCTAAAGCCACCAGTGGTGACAGCCACCCTGCAGTAACAGCAGGTCACTGCTGCTTTGCTGTAATTACTTTGATCTACAAGTCATAGAATGGTTTGGGTTGACAGCGACCTTCAAAGCTCACCTAATCCAACCCCCTGCACTGAGCAGGGACACCTTCAGCTACATCAGGTTGCCCAGGTGCCTTGGTGTAGCTTTTCACATGCTTCAGAGAATGGCTCTCACAGTACCTCTGATGGGGACACTTCTGCACTATGAATTTATCTCTGCTTCACCTCCTTTGCAGCCAGCCTAGGAGGAACCAGAGCTTTCCAACACCTGCATCAACTGTCCCAACACGGACATCACCTCCCACTGCCCAAGTGGTTTCCTTACCAAAGCCTGTCAGCTTCTCGGGGTGACAAACCTCTCCCAACACCACTTCTCCATGTGTCCTGCCCTCTATCTGCCCCTGCTGCCAGAATGGAGAGGAGCATTCATGCTAACAACATGGAACCAGACATCAGCCCTTTGCTGCAGCTGCACTGGGGGTGGGAAGGCAGGTCAGCAGCACATCAAGCTGGAGAGCTTTGCTTTACTGATTCACAAGGTGGAAATACCTGAGCTAAGGACTGAGAATGCTACACCAGGAAGAGTGGACAGAGGGTTGATGTGGGTGAGATGGGGCCTCACATTGTACTTTAGCTGCAGAAGCTGGAGCTGTTGTGAACACATCTTCATGGGGTTATGAAGGGTGGGAGCTCACACCAGCACAAGGCTGCTTTGGTCTGCAGTGAAGGGGTAATACAAGTGATAAAGGGGAGCAGCACAGCAATCAGTGAGTGCGCCAAGCCAGGGGATGCACCACTGTCAAGGAGATGTGCATCCAATAAATGGACAGCTTCCACTCAAAACCTCAAGGTGCTTCTCCAACTCCATGCCCTTTGCAAAGCTGCCTGCACGAGAACAGAGATAAGCCTTCTGCAGGCTCCCTGCTGTCCACTGTGGCCATGGTGTGTCAAACCACTCACGGCCAGAAGCTCTCGCTTCCATAGTTCCCTTAGTGATCCCCAGTCTGCTCTAGACAGACATTTTACCTTGTAAAGCCCACGTAGCACCTTCCTGAATGTGAGTTGGGGAATCTGGGTACAAACAGCACAGTGAGCAGGCTGAGAACCATAGAACCACCATAGAATGGTTTGGGTTGAAGGGACCTGCAAGCTCCTCCAGCTCCAACCCCTGCCACGGGCAGGGACCCCTTCCACTAGAGCAGCTTGCTCCAAGCCCCTGTGTCCAACCTGGCCTTGAACACTGCCAGGGATGGGGCAGCCACAGCTTCTCTGGGCACCCTGTGCCAGCGCCTCAGCAGCCTCACAGGGAAGAACTTCTTTATATCCAACCTAAATCTCCCCTGTTTCAGTTTGAACCCATTCCCCCTTGTCCTACCACTATGGTCCACTGAGTCAGTCCCCTGAAGGCTGACCTCTTCCCATAGTAAAGTCTGTTTGCAGAAAAAACACCTGGAAAAGGATGTCTGTGGCTTGGGATAAAGGAAAAATGTCTCAGCCAGAGGAAAACAACCACAAATGCTGTGGGATCTTTAATGTCCCAGCAGGAAAGGTACAACCAGACAGTTCAGAGGCTTATTTGAAAACCCACTGTAGGAAAGAACTTCCATAAGTTGGTCCTGAGAAATGTACCCATCCCCTTGGGAATTACTGACCCTGCTACAGATGCCAACTCGTGCTTCTGGGGAACCTGAGTACTAGAAGCCTGTTGAGTGCCCCACGAGACCATGGGTTTAGCACTGTTTAAAGTTCCTCCCTTAGAGGTGACTTCAGCTATGACTCAAACACCGTTTCCAGCTTGAAGGCCATCCGCAGGTCATTGTGAGTGCCTTGGTTCTTTCAGTGGAAGGTGATGACCCATCAGAAGAACATCTCTCAAAGCCTGCCTTTGTTCAGCATGTTAAAGTCCCTCTTTTAGCTTGGACCAGGCTAATTCCCCCCCCACCCCGGTTAATGCACTAGTGGATGATCTGAGTTCACCCAGCATCAAAGCCACAGTGTGGGAAGCCATCACCAGTGGAAATCTCCTTCTGTTGGGAAGCTGGAGCATGCATGGACGGAACCACCTCACAGTTCCAGTATTTTCTGGTTATATAGACCAGATTCTGTCAATTATAAGACAAACATCCTTGGCAATTCAAACCAACCTCTCAAAACCACTGTAAAGGAGCAGTTAGCAGTGAAATAGAGAGATATAAAGCGTTACCCACTGCTATCGAGACAGCGCTTACGACAGCTCCCAAGTAGCCCTGGATGAACTTGGACGTCGGAGAAGGCTTTGGAAAGAGAAAACAAAACATATTGTCACTAAACAAACTCCTGGTTATTAAACTGCAGCTCTGCTTTTTGGGGGCTGTTTTCATTGTGTTTGTTTGGAAGCAGAGACAGGTTTCATCTCTGTCATATTGTTCTGTGACACATGGTCTGTCATGTAGCAGCGGCAAAAGAAAGGCAAATTGGAGCCTCGTGAGCAAGGTTAAAGGGACTGGGAAATTAATTGGCATCAGAAAATGATAATATTAATTGGAGCTCAAAGGAAGGATGTGAATGGAATTCAGCAAATGGTACAAAATGAGTTATTCTTATACACTAGTGATGAGCCCCAAACTCTCCACATGAAATAGCTGTGGTTGAAATGTTATCTCAATGAGCTGGATGGTTTCCAGCTCAGCTTCCTGTCTTGAGCTTGTAATGAATGATAAAGCAATGGGAGGGAGGAGGAACAGCCCCACTACTTCGCAGCACCGCTGCTGCTGGCACACATAAAGTCCTCAGGAGACACCAGGGTGACCATGGAGCTGCCTTTTGCTACCCAAAAAACCCAGATACAGCTTTGCTTTGTGCTCATTTCCATATCAAATGCAGCCACTTCACACCAGTTAGAACTAGATACTGGTTCAGCTCAAAGCCATTTAGTGTTACTGATGCGCTTTGAGTGATTTTGGGATCCTTACACCATTTACAGCTGAGGTTTGACATGGAAGCCTATACAGGAGAATGGCCAATCTATAAACCCATCAGTGGGTTAACTCCAGAGCATCTATTAACAGCGGAGGGACAAGACTTCTGTTGCTGTGTTAAACCAGAGCTAGCACACCATGCACACCACAGACGCTGGGGCTCCTCACCTTGGTCGCATTGCGGTTTGCATAGTTGACGCAGGCATTGTGGCTCTGATTCAACCACTGAGGAGGAAACAGGAGACAAGCATAAACATAGCTTCACAGCAGTAAAGTGAAAGGTATCTATTAAAGGTGGGAATGTCGATGGAAAACTGTCCTCTTGGGCCTGCTCACAATTTGCCGCCTCTTTGTAAAGGCTCCTGTATAACCTGCATCTGATTTAATGCCCCTCAAAGGGAGGGACAGAAAGCCCAAGGCATCCAGAGACCAGAGGGCAGCTTTGCTTCCCTCTTTGCTTGACAAACAGCTCTTCTCCTGGCCCAATCTACCTCCACACATCTCAGTTGCTCTTTGTTTTCATCAGCACCAAATCCATACTGCTGTTAAGAGGTAGCATTAAGCCCGGCAGCCAATTCATAGACTCAGACTGGTTTGGGATGGAAGGGACCTTCAAGCTCATCAGTTCCACTCCTCTCAGGGTGCTGAGGCGCTGGCACAGGGTGCCCAGAGAAGCTGTGGCTGCCCCATCCCTGGCAGTGTTCAAGGCCAGGTTGGACACAGGGGCTTGGAGCAAGCTGCTCTAGTGGAAGGGTTGGAACTGGATGAGCTTTAAGCTCCCTTCAACCCAAACCAGTCTGGGTTTGTCATTCTAAAAGCAGAGGAGACAAGTTGCCTTCACAAACATGAATGAGCGTAGATGTCTCCAGCCACCATCCTACTCCCACAGCAGGTGATGCCACATGGCACAAGTTACAGCTAAACACACCAAACCACAAGTTACTGGCACGTACCAACATATTCTTGGTCCTGCAGTCTTTCTAACATACTAAGCAGATCCCATTCTGCTTTGATATTTCTTAACTGCATAATTCTCTATCATCACTTACACTGTAGACAATAAAAAGACATTCACAACTAAAAATAAGCCTGAAAAGAACTTGTTCTTTCATTTCAGTTACTGCTGAAATGATACTTCACTGGCGTGTTTACTATGGATGGAACTCATTCACGTGCACGCTTCCCCCACTTACTCTTAATTCCCAGAATTTTAATGGGAAGCAACACCCACAGCTCCCTACACAGAGACAGCCAGGCCAGGCTGGATGGGACTTGGAGCAAGCTGCTCTACTGGGAGGTGTCCCTGCCTGTGGCAGGGGTTGGAGCTGGAGGAGCTTTAAGGTCTCTTCCAACCCAAACCAGTCTGGGATTCTGTGATTTACACCTATACAAAATGGGCCCAAAAAGCTGATTTTGTGATCCCAGAGTATTTTTCATCTCCTTTGCAACGGCACAAACTGGAAAGCAGACCCAATAGTTTGCTTATAGTCTCTTCTAGACCTAACAAACCTTTCCCTAATTATATCCAGGCACATCATCTCCCCATTAACTAAAGCACTGCCACCGCAGAATAGCCACATGTACCTAGACAAAATTCAACTGCTTCTTTCCATTCCATCCCATTCTCCATCCATTTGGACATTACCTGCCAAAACACAGTGGATGCCAGTGTCTGGTTGGGCAAGAGAAGACCAACAACCTGCAAGAGAAGAGATTGGGTCATTAGTAAATGCATTGTTGGTTTGCTCATGATGCTTTTCTCGGCATGCAAAGAGCAAGCTTATTTCTGATGCCTTGACTAAATGACCTTCATTTATGGCTTTACTGCATTATAGTTATTGAACTTCCCTTCTGCCTGTTGTCTCTCAGCTTTCCAGTGGTGAAACTGGGCAATGGAGCTGCCCATGAAAGCTTTGCTTCTTATTTGTTGCTTGCAAGCCACCTTGGAAAGAGTCTGGCAGCAGAGAATGCCCAAAGATTAATTCATTAAAATGTAACCACTTCTTTATTCCAGGTATTTCTGGAGGAGAACATCAACACTGCTTGAATGCAAGAGCTCAAAGTTGTTGCTATTGGCAGTAAAAGCGGGGTCGTTCTTATTTTCCTTTGGCACATTTGCTCTTTCAAGCACGAGAATGGAATCCGATTGGAACACCTGAAGGCAGGAGTGACACCTGGAAGCACTTGCGCTCCTGTTTGGGAGCCTGGATTTTGTTTTGAGAGAGAATTATGGATGTGTCGTACTCAACGGAAGAAACTGAGCAAGAGGAAAAGGATGCAAAGCATGGTGACTCCCAACAATAAACCCCCAAAACATAGACAGGAAGATGAGCTCTTGGGTAAGAACCACAGAATAGTTTGGGTTGGAAAAGACCCTCGAAGGTGATGTAGTCCAACCCCAAGAAATGGGTAAGGTGAGATACTTCCTAACATCGTCATGTCCTCTCCTCCTGCACCTTAACTCATAGCATGGCTTGGGTTGGAAGGGACCTTCAAAGGTCACCTACTCCAACCCTGCTGCAATGAGCAGGATGTCTAAGAGTCTCCGAAGAAGACATCCTTCTTGTTGCAAAATCATCTCTGCTCTTTGTTATGAGTATAAAGGCTGAACAACTAACTCCTAATTCCAAACACATTTATTGTCAGGACACTGATGTGAACTAAAACACCCCCGAGGCATCTGGACAAGAAGGCTGTGAGTTCATTCCCACTCTCAGACTGTCCTTTGTACCATTTTCGTGAAGTTTATTGCTAAGAAGAGAACAAGCATCCCTGCTTGGAGCACTGAGAGCCTGCTGCAAGGAGGGATAAGCTAACGCCATCTCCCCACATCTGCAGCAGCATCAGTTGAAGAGGAGGCAACCTCTACGCTTAAGGACAGAAGAGAGAAATAACAACAAACAAAAGGGTAATAGGGTTGGGAGGCCTGCTTTCATTTCCATCTTCGTTCCCTTCTCCTCCTCCTCCTCCAGCTTTTCCTCCTCCAGCCTCTCGTGAAGTTACAGCTACTTTGTACACTGGCTGAGCGCCAACCTGTGCAAGTTACACTAATTTACCACTTCCATTCAATATGGGGCTCTTGCCATTAATTACTCCAGCGCTGGTCTTAGCCAAATGAATTCAAGAGGCGACGCACTTCCTCACCCGAGGACTGGCTTCTAGCCCTGAAGCCACCAGGCTAATGAGGCTCTGGAGGAGAAAGGGAAGACTCCAGGCAGGCACTTGCATTGTCAGCTGAAGCTGAGCGCCGAGGGAAATAGAAGAGGGAAAATAAATAAATAAAGAAGAGCACCCAAAATGTGTATGACTGAAAGAGGCACGTTTAAATGCAAACTCTCCATATGTGCAAGAGTCTGTCAAGAAATGTACAATTTCACTTTTAATTACTGTCAGGGGGAAAAAATAACTAAGAAGGAAAACAAAATAGGCAAAAAGCTTTTAAACACTTAGAAAAGTACCAGCTATAATGTTTAATTGCCTATCAGGTGTGAAGGGGCTTTCGTGGCATCAAAGATGGGGCTAAAGCCACTGCTTGGGCATCTGTGGGCTCTGTTTGTGTTATGGGGTCTCCTCTTGCAAGGCCCACGTCTGCATCCCCATATTAACACCAAGGTCTTCTCTATGGACTTTGAAACCTCAACAAGACCCCTCCATATATAATGGAGGAAAACAAGGTGCTTAAAGAGGTGGGTGGCAGCTGGGAACACCAGCACAGCTTTGGTTCCATCTTCACTGCTCATTTTAGGCTGAATTCCCTACATGCAGATAAATCTTCTTCTTTAAAGCCTTCCATCCCTGGGATGAAACACAAACCCAGAGTCCAGCAGCTGCCTTGCACATCTTACCCCTACAGCAAAGGGAGATGATCCCTGGCAGTGTTCAAGGCCAGGTTGGACACAGGGGCTTGGAGCAAGCTGCTCTAGTGGAAGGGGTCCCTGCTCGTGGCAAGGGGGTGGAACTGGACGTGCTTTAAAGGACCCTTCTAAGCTAAACCAGTCTCTGGTTCTATAATGGGAGCGGATGGATTTGCTCCCTCCTGGGCTGGAATCTCTGTGGGCAAACACAGAATCTCCCTACGCTGACCTATCCCCCATGCTGTCCTCACTCTGCAAGTGATCCCATGATCGAACCAGGAGCTTGAGCATGGAAAGGATGGAAGCTAAAACGAAAAGCAAACGATTGCAACTTGGGGGAAGGAGAAACAGCCACAAGATTTGATGTGTCAGGGGAGTAGGTGCTTTGGCCAGAAAAGAAACAATTATCTCCAGCAAGACCTTAATCTCTTTCACAATGAGCTAAACCAAACTGAATTAGTTTGCATTAGCTATAGGGGGAGGAAAAGAACCCAGACCAAGATGTATATCGGCAGCATCACGGATTGACTGAGAGGCAGTAAACCTGGTAATACATTCTCTGATCCCATCTATACCAGGTGTTTAAGTGACCCTCAAACCCCGGGACAGTCACACCGGAGGTGAGGACAGCCACGCTCACACAGGCAGAGCCCACCGCAGGCACGTTGAGCCTCTCTTGAGGAAATCCCATCCCCCTATGTGAAATGCAAGACTCAAACTGTTTTTATGCTGGAGCAGGCTGCCAATTTTGTCACTAAATTTCACAGATCGATTGGCATAAATGTTACATTTTAATTTTAACATTTGAAACGTTTGGGTATGGGGATTTTTTTGATTTTTTTTTTTCTCCTCCTCTTTGTAAATGACAAGAGGTTCCAGTTTATCCTTTAGAGCGAGTGAAATTGGGCTCATCTGACAGCTCGCGGCTCCTCTGACAGCTCTGGATTGGGGCCGATTTCATTGTCAGCTTGAGCGTTAACTCATTTTTGTTTAACCTTTTCTTTGAAAATGCCCCATACAAAGTGCCCACCAAGCCCTCTCCCTGCCACAGCAGAGTAATGGATGTGACGGGTTCTGCTTTTACATGCTGGCAACCCCGCTATCGCTGGTCCGCAGTGATTGTCACCTTTAAGCAAGGACCGTGCCACAGCCCACTGGGTGCAGGAGGTCAAACTGAGCACCTTTTGCTCCTTTCAACCATCTTCATACACGTGATTGAAGAAGCTGAGCCAAGAACTGGTGGCTCTGAGGACTTCACGGCACCAACGTTGAGCGATTTAGGGCAAAACTCCATGCCTCAGTTTCCCCATTCATAAAAGGGATTAATTAATGATTCCCATTCCTGAAGACGAGCTGAGGTTTCAGCAGACAGGCAGAATTATCTCCCTTCTGGCTCTCGCTACCGAGAGCACCCAAATGCTTACACATCCCACAAGAACAAGTACAAACTCCAAGCACCCTCAGCAGGAACCCCACGGAAAGCACTCGCTGTTGTCATTAATCGAGACGGGAGCGCACGACACGGGCCTCGCCGTGCTGCAGCTCATCACGTTCAGGAAGAGCCTCGTAAAACATGCAAATGAAACCCCAAAACAGAAACACAAGTGTCCAAAGCTGAAATCTGAGAGTTGCAGAAGTTGCATTTTGCAGGCAATGAGCTCATCTCGGTCTTCCCTTTTCCCAGATGGGAAAGATGAAGCTGAAGATGCTGCACGGGGCTGAGTGAATGACGTTCAAGAGATGAGTAACCTCAAGCACAACGTGCATAGGGCAGGTTTGACACGGTGAAGACCTTGCTAATGTGCAATGGAAACCCTTGTGGGAGCATGTAGGTGGCATGTGGAGTGCTAAAAGATGTGTTTCTTGGTACTTGCAAACCAAATGGGGAGAGATGTTATAATACTTACGATGGGTGTTCCAAAGGGAATGTAACCTATGAAAAACAAAAAGAGATGCATTCATTTTAATACATAGCTTTGGGATGGAAAAACATCCTATCTGAGACACGGATCAGGTCAGGGTAGCAGTCAAAGCCTCATCCCTGGCAGTGCTCAAGGCCTGGTTGGATGGGGCTTGGAGCAAGCTGCTCTAGTGGAAGGTGTCCCTGCCCATGGCAGGGAGTTGGAATTAGATAAGCTTTAAGGTCCCTTCCAACCCAAACCATTCCATGATTCAAACCTGGCACCATGGGCTGCATTCACTTCCACCAGCTCTTCACCACCATGGGGACATGGACTGATGCACCAAGCACCAGCTAGAGCAGACTCCTGATTTTTCCTTATCTCCTTCCCATCCTCCATCTGCTTCTCTTGGGTTGTGGTCTAAGACTTCCCCTGAAACATGTATTATCTAGACCTAAAGCTTACTCCAGTAAGCCCAGTCTGTTCCAGTACACAGCACTGGCACTTCAGAGGGCATCCTGTTGTTGAGCTGGGCTCAGCAGCCAGCAAAACCCCACATCATCAGGAGCAAAGGGATGAGAGCTCAGACCAGGAGCTCCTGGTCCGGAGCAGGAGGAGCTGGATGCTGCTATCTGAGCTGACCTAGTGGCTTGCTGCCACGGGAAGGGGGAGATCCTGCCCGCCTTCCCAAGCTCAGTCACACAATCTGTTCCCTTCCTTGTGCCAGCTCTGTTGCTCATCAGACCCTCCCACAACCTACCCTCACTAACCCAGGAGAACACTCTCCAGCTTTCCATGCCCCTTCCCTTCTTGCTGAGCCTGGTCCCACCACTTACAGCACGCCAAAGCCGCTCATGAAGCCACCTAACAAGCTGCAGAGCCCATGCCAGTTAAGGAGCAGGACCATGCCACCAGAGGTGGGATCTTCCTCGTTCACCATCTGCTTTATCAACCTCTCCATGAGTGATTTTGGACCAGGAGAGCTCATTTATTTCTAGGTCAGTAGAAGAAGCAAGAGGGTGTAAGCTGAAGAAAGTGTAGTTGCATCATGGAAGAGAGAAGGACTATTTAATCACAGGTCTAAGTTAAAGCTCTATATTAGAGATAAGCCTTTACCCCAAATCCTATTGAGTGCCACAAAAATCAAATGCTTCACATTTTTCCCCTGCTAAGTCTGCCAATTTCTGTGCTAATTATAATCCATCTCTATGACTTCCACTAGAAGGTCTCGATATTCCTGAATTAAGCCTCATGGATCCAATTTAGTCAGAAAAGGGGCAGAGACCTGAGAGGAAGAATAATTAAACAAAGAAAGAAATACAGAACCAGCAAACTGCAGGTCCTGGCTTTTCTCGCCTTCACTTCACCCTCAACATCACCCTTCCACAAAGAACTGGAGAGCAAAACGCATCAACCCTGTTATATTCCCCCTATGCCCAGCATTCAGGTGAAGATGCTCCCACAAAAAAACATGGGAAAAGCCCTATTTATTTAAATAGATCCTTTGGGAAAAGGCTGAACTTCCTCCTCAAGAGAGGTGCTATTCAAGCCACAGCAGAGGTAGCTGTGGACCTGTGCATGGCAAAGGGACATCCCAAAGTGGGAAGGAGGCAGCAAGGATTTAATCATTAAGCAACCTGGAATAAGCCACAGGGGAGCTGATACTTCCTGGCTCCCACTGGCACATGGTAAAACAGGGCTCATCCCATTCTCTCCTGGAGAGTAAACCCAAAAACTGGTCATTGGGCATCAAGCTTTGCTCTTCACTACAGAATTAACATGCCCAATACAGTGTTGGATGCCTCAAAAATGCCAAATGCTTGAGTTCACATTAGAACCTCTGAAGGAAAGGAAAATATGAAGCCCTACATCTTCCGTAGGTATTTAGGATCCCAATTCTCCTCAGATGCAAAGGGATTGGGGCATTTGAATTACTTTCTGAGCTTAATCCAAACGTTTACCAGCTGCAACTCAAAAACAGGAGGAAAAAAGAAGGGATTTTGTACATATTCCCAGTAATATTCATGTTGGCCCGTTTGGGACATACTCTACCTGACATTCGGAAAGGCATGAAGATGGTCTCATTTGTGTCGGGATGGATGATGGCCTGGAAAAGAGACAGCAGAGAGACAGGCTGAAGGCACAGCAGCAAAGGCACTGCTCGGCCTCTACAAACAGCACCTTCCACCAACGAGTACTCAGCACCCTCCTTGCTTTTAACCAAGGGAGTTACTGTTCAAGAGCCTCCACCCAACCTCCCACCACTGCTTGTCCCGCTCCTCAAGTGACTGAGTATAAGCTGATAATGTAGAGTACATCATTTAACCTGAAATACAGAAAATGGCTCTTTCTTGGTACCATAATGTCCCCCAGTGCTACACCTTAACCCCAGGGGGAGAAATGTAGACTTAGGATGGTAAAAGGGGAACCTGTTTCCTGCCCCTGCCTGTTTTCAGCATCCCCACTGAGGTGCAGCTCAATGTCCTGGCTAAAACACTGCTCTACAAAAGGAAAAGCCCTCGCTGAGGCAGAAGGATGGGGAGGGCAGGGCTGCCTGCTTGGTTGTAAATCACTTTATGATGCTCAGAAAGCAAACAGGTGCAGGAGACCCCCTTAAGGACTGGTGTGGCTCTGCCGTGATGGATGGATTCACTCCGAGGAGCATCCCCATCTGCAAGTGCGTCTGCATGAGTACGTTGTAGGAAGGCTGAAATGCTGCTTCAGGATCAGAGGTGGGACAAAAACCCTACAGGTGCTGTCCTCTCTGGGTGTCACCATAAGGTCACCCAAATAAAACCCCCTCATGTGCCACAGGATTTGTGTTTCCTGGTTAACTCAACCTTTACGTGTGACCACAGCCCCTCAAGCAGCGCTGGTGGCTGTGGACAGCCCAATATCCATGGAAATCCTAAATGTTTTACTAACAAACAGACAACCAAGGTCACTTGGACCATTTTCCACCTCATTTTACAGGAGGTTGCACTGGCACTAAGTGGCTGGGGAGGAAAAAAAGCATCCCCAAGTGATCTGGGATTGCAGAGGAGGGAGGTACGACACAGTTCCAAACCTTACCAAGGAACTGTCAAACTATTTTCAAAAGACTGGAGACAAGAAATCTCTTGACTAGACAGGAAGGAGAAAATGAAGACATCAAAATATATAAATACAAAGAGGGAAAAAAATCAGAGCCTTTGGTGGCAAGTGTTCACTGCATTTACATTCCTGTGGCAAGACAAAACAGCGACTGGCAAAGTCAATAGCGGAGAAGAGGACAGCGACGCTTAGCAAAGAGGAAAGAAAACAGCAAGGGTTGACAATAATTGTCAGATAGGAATAAAAAGGGTATTACCTGCTTGATTTTTTGAGCTCCCCACAGCTAGAAGGAAAGAAAAGAGAGTATTACATATAAAAACCAAGCAGTGAAACCCCAAATATTCATCTTTGAGCTGTTGTAGTGAGTGAATGACTGCGTTTAAACAGACCCGTTTTCAGCATCCTTCCTGGATGCGCTTAAAGATCCTTGAGACCCATTGAGCTCCTTCATATGCGTTTGGCCAGTCTGACCAGCCAGGCAGAGATCATGTTCCTTTTACATTGAGTGATAAAGAGTAACAGACAGACTTCGTGCCCTGCTCTGAGCTTTACAAACTGAGCATCATCTCGGTAACAGCCGCACGGAGCTCTCAAGGTAAATTTAGCACAGCCTCTCCTTGGACGAGCTTCCTGCGGAAACCAAAGCTTGCTGGGGAACAAAGGTGGAGCAAGGAAGCCCTGCAGGGAAAGGTGATGAGCGTCTCTTCACATCGAACCTGGATTCAGAGTAAAGCACCAGGAGTTTCCATGCTTCACAAGGGAAACGCACTGCAAAGCGCTCGGCGAGAGGAAAAATCTCAGCTAAAACTCTCATGAGCACCTACTGTGATTTACTGAGTGCCACTCGGCAGCATCAGAACACCCCAGATCTGGCTCAGGCAGTGAAGATCTATGAGCACGGAGGAAACAACATCCCATGTGAGGTGCAGGTAGAACTAATGAGGAGGTGCACAACATCAGGAGGTGCTTTGGCATAGATGTAAACCCATAGTTTGCCCCTGCCTAATAAAGCCAGAGGGCTCTCCTCCATGAATTACACCCGAATGCAAATTATAAGCTCTAAAATACAAATAAAAGTCCTGATTTTGATATCTAAAACTCCAGAGACGGATGAAACCCCAGGACTCCTGTGAAATACCACACTAAATCATGGCTTTTGCTATGAAAAACCTTTCCGTTCAGCTCAAGGCTGGCTTCAACATCAGCACCGGCTTGTGTTCCACCTCTGTCTGACAGCCTCCAGCACCGTCTATTTTTGCTCCTCACACAGGTACTTGGAGCTGCTAAAACCACCCTTTAACCTGCATCTAAGGGAAAATAAGTACAGAATCCACCCGAGCCAGGAGACTGGCTGTTTGCTGGCAAGGCACCATTGCCAATCTCTAAACCACCCTCGTGGCTCTTTAACATCTTTCCAATTTGTCAACATCCTCTCGCATCGAGGACGCCAGAAACCAGACAAATGATTCCAACAACAGTTGTAGCCGTGCCAAAGCAAGGGTAGGGTAACCTGGGAGTTCTGCTCTTGCTGCTGATAAAGGCAGCGATAGCTCTTTTTGCTTGGAGAGCTCAGGATTACCCACCAGAATCCCTACACCAGTGCCACGCGCATACTCTGCAACACAGGCATCCACCTTTAAGATGTTATCATTAGAATCCCAGAATGGTTTGGGTTGGAAGGGACCTTCAAGCTCCTCCAGCTCCAACCCCTGCCACAGGCAGGGACCCCTTCCACTAGAGCAGCTTGCTCCAAGCCCCTGTGTCCAACCTGCCCTTGAACACTGCCAGGGATGGGGCAGCCACAGCTTCTCTGGGCACCCTGGGCCAGCGCCTCAGCACCCTCCCAGGGAAGAGCTTCTGCCTAAGAGCTCATCTCAGCCTCCCCTCTGGCAGGTTAAAGCCATTCCCCTTGGCCTGGCCCTACAGGCCCTTGTCCCAAGCCCCTCTCCAGCTTTCCTGCAGCCCCTTTAAGCACTGGAGCTGCTCTAAGGTCTCCCCAGAACTGCTCCATCCCTTCCCCCCAGCCTGTGTTTGTGCTGGGGATTGCCCCAACCTATGGGCAGGACCTTGCACTTGCCCCTGTTGAAGTCCATGAGGCTCACACGGTCCCACCTCTCCAGCCTGTCCAGGACCCTCTGCATCCCATCCCTCTCCTCCAGCATGTCAACTGCACCACACAGCTTGGTGTCATCAGCAAACTTGCTGAGGGTATTATCATTATGGTATAATTTAAGCCCTGTTCTGCCTTTCTCACCCAAGGTTTAGCACCTTCCCCAAATATAAACCCATTAAAATACTGCTGGAATACGGTAATTGCTCTACTATAAATGGCATTGATTCACCCCCTGATACAGCAACCCCAGTATTCCACTCACAAATCCAGCTCTCACCCCAGAATTGAAGCTCTGTGATGAACTCCACGACGTACAGTTACTGGAGTATCTAAATGTCACAGGCTTGATGCACATATCCACAGGGCTCTTCCCTAAGGAAAACTTCCTTTTGAAGGAAAACCATTATTCTCCATTCTACAGTTAAAAACCAGGGACTGAGGGACACAAAGGTGCAACTTCTGTGGTTGGCAAAGAAGTGTCTACCCTCCCCAGTCCTGAAATCCAAAGGGTCGGAGGCTCATGCGCAGATACCTACAAGGGGTTTTCTGCATCCAACTGCCCATCAGCTCAAGAACTTCCACGGGGTGACAATGGAAGTCAACGGGGTGACATGGAGCTGCAGGTGACTACCCAAAGCAACCATGTGGCTGCCCAGGTCTCGCCTATCTTGGATGTGAAAGGAAAACACATTCTTTTCCTCTCCAGCTACAAGGACCCAGTACAGCAAATAGGAAGAGGGCTGGTTTCTGAGCCAGCGCTACGGCTTTTTTTGGTCAAATTCTCTCATTTCATTAATTGAGCCCAATATTTATGCATTTCCCTGCTGCAGTGCAAATATTGTTAGAACATGGGATTTCATTACTTCCCAGAAGAGACTTTGCAAGATGCACCTGATGAGTCACCTAACGCTCCTGCCAGCTCATTTTCACTTCTTTATCCTCTAATTCCTTTTCTGTCTGCAGCATCCCTCAGGAGCTCCAGTGCTCTGGAGAGGCTTTGCCAGCTGGGGGGGCTCGCTTCTGAAAGCAAAGCTCTGCTTTTGCTGGGGATTTCATTCACGCTCGCTCCGGCCACCTTGGAGCAGCAGCTGGATGCTGATCCCATTTACACACACGTGAATCCAAAGCATCTTCAACTGGAGCACATGGAACGACTCCAGATTCGTGCCTGATTTATGGTAGATTTAGGTCTGTGATCTCTAAATATAGTGAGCCTGTACTGGGTGGGTCTCCTGTAATAGATCATCTTCCTCTGCATCAGCTTTGCTGGATAATACACATCCCTGGCAGTGCTCAAGGCCAGGTTGGACACAGGGGCTTGGAGCAAGCTGCTCTAGTGGAAGGGGTCCCTGCCCGTGGCACGGGTTGGAGCTGCAGGAGCTTTAAGGTCCCTTCCAACCCAAACCAGGCTGGGATCCTATGATTACTGGCTCAGAGCTACAAAGGGGTTTTGCCACCATTCATATTTGTGTGCAAGAAATAGGCATTTACACCAATGAATCCCAGAGGACAAGAGTACAGGGGCATTGGAGCTCTGTTAACACATTCCACCATCCCCCCAGCCGCATTAGCAAGCAGTAATGGACAAGTTTGTCCAGCCTGAAGCCATTGCAACCTTTCACTGGGACAGAATGGGCCCTGCTTCATGGAGATGTCATCACTGAATGGTTTGGGTTGGAAAGGACCTTAAATCTCCTCCAGCTCCAACCCCTGCCACAGGCAGGGACCCCTTCCACTAGAGCAGCTTGCTCCAAGCCCCTGTGTCCAACCTGGCCTTGAACACTGCCAGGGATGGGGCAGCCACAGCTTCTCTGGGCACCCTGTGCCAGTGCCTCAGCACCCTCACAGTAAATATCATAAATCCTAGAATCCCAGTGCACTGGACCTCAAGGATCATCTGTTCCAACCTGTCCAGGCAAAGCAAGACCTAGACTAGATGGCCCAGCACCCTGTCCAGACCATTCTTAACAGTGTCCAGTGTTGGGGAATCCACACCTTCCCTAGGAGATTATTCCAAGGGCTGATTGTTGCCTTTGGTCATGGAGGAATCAGGTCCAGGACCATTTGCAAGTGCTCCCAGCACCATCCTTTCAGAAAGCTGCACTCCCCAATGAGATTTCCATCCATCCTTCCCAGGATTCTGGTTTTTCCTACAATTTTTCAAGGAAGGGATATCCACCACCTCCAGCAGAGAGCTTCTAAACCCTGGGCTCAGGAACTGAACATACAGAACCATGCCACACTTAACAAGGGTATCAAACACTACCACCATCTAAAGCAAACCAAAGCTGCAGTAAAGAGCTGGAGACTAGAGCAACTTTGGGGGAACAGATAGGATCTTTCCTTGACAAGACATTCATTAGCACTCCTTATTTAGCAGCAGAATTGCAGCTTAGAGATAGTTTTCCCAAAAAAGTATTTATTTAAGGAATCTACCCAGCCCCAATCCATTAGCTAACTCCTGCCACTGCAAACACAGTACAAAGGGTACCAGTTAGCTTTAAAGCAATAACCTCCCTCTTGTTAAATACAGTAGGATTTGGGGTTTGTGGAATCAAAGGTGGGATTTTTTCCCCTTTACCCAAAGTTTCACCACGATTAGAAGTCCAAGTTAACAAATCGCTCACCCTTCTTTATAGCAGGCTCCAACGCTGCTAAAACACATGGCCAGCTCTCCCCTATATGAGTGCCTTAGCTGTATCCAGGGCATTTAATACGTTGCTTAAGCTGGCCTCCACTGCTTATGGTCAGGAGAGCACCAACAGATTCACACAACCTACTTCCATGTGTTGCCAGCAACCACCTCCCTGCAGTCAATGGGGACACAAAGGCAGAACTGATGCTGGGAATCTCTAGTAGATGCTCTAACGCATCCTTCCTTCAACTGCACATTCAAAAGGATCCGAGTCTCTTACACGATATAGTAGTAGACACTGAAATGATCTTAAATCCATGGGGGTGTGCTCTGGATATGCCATGTCAGGAGTCACTAAGTCATAGAATCAGACTGGTTTCGGTTGGAAGGGACCTTAAAGCTCATCCAGTTCCAACCCCTGCCACGGGCAGGGACACCTTCCACTGGAGCAGCTTGCTCCGAGCCTCATCCAGCCTGGCCTTGAACGCTGCCAGGGAATAACTCTATGGAGAAAATCCCTTCCTGATTAACCACA